TTTCCCTTTCACACGAGCAATGTGAAGTCCACCATATCACGTCTTAACGTTTGTCTGCCACGCAGTTGCTGCGGGAAGCGACTACTTTAAATCAAAATTAACTGTTGTTTGTACAGTAATAATGCCATTTAAGTCATATCCCTCTGTGGTATTGACTAGTTTAACAATGACAAAAAAAAAACAAAAAAAAAATTTTGTCTAGTTCTAGCCTTGTAAAGCTTTTTGTATGATTTGCATATACTATTTGCTACTCTAATTAAGGCGTCAAATGATTCACACTAACTATGAAGCCACACTGACTATTTTTATACGAAAAAAACAATGCACGCATTGAAAAAGATTAATTTAGCAAGCGAAATATAACCACAGACAAATTTCACATAGGATTCAATTTTATTCGTTATAACTGATATTCAACAAATCATTCTATGATGTAACAGTAATGGCGAAAAAAAAACTACATTTTATACATGATCATTTTCTCAATATTCACATTTTTTCCTGCCAAAATATCAATTGTAGAACAATTATCTCACCTTCTCACCCATCGAATTCATTTAGTGCGTCAAAGAATTCATCGTCGCTTGCTTGTTGATTAACATTAGCATTCCCTGCGGGCACAACTGCAGGATTTTGCCCATATATATCATTCATAGGTTCTATAGAACCTACCATGATCTTATCTCCTTCATATTCTAATAACTCCCCCTCTTCTAAACTATCTCCACCTCTTGATTGTACAAAATTATTATGTCTAACTTCAACCTCGCTACTATCTATATTTTTTGCAGAAGCGGAAGTTTCAGCATCTTCATTTGTTACGATTTCCTCGTTTTCCTCCATATCGATGTCCAGTTCTCCGTCTTCTAGATCGTCTATTTCTGTGTCTTGTTCATCGTCGTTGAATCTCAAATCTTCATCGCCACTATCGATTCGCTCATACTGACTCCATCCATCGTCGTCATCACTATCATCCAATAAGCGTACAAACCCTTCTGCTTCTTCCTTTTCTCTCTGCTCGGCTTTTCGTTTTTTCTTCCAAAAGAGGATTGGTCCAAGTAAACCTAGCCGCTATTGCTTCTTTCATGGCCGCTTTTTTCTCTTCCTTTTTTTTCCAATTCGGGCTTCTTTCTTTTCACGCTGCGCCTTTTTTTGAGCATAAAAATAATCTGCACTTACCCATGTGCCCAAACGGACGACACCCGCAACATTGCTGGCACTATCGTTACGATCAAGTTTTGCAACATGAGGTAATCGACAGTTCGCATTGGAGCATCTGCCTGTTTCGGCAAATTCGGGGCAGACATGCACATGCTTTTCGTTACAGTGGAGTCCTTTCGGACAATAACCCTCCATAGCAAAGGCTCGGCATACAGGCGCTTTTGAGTTGACCTTGACATGAATAAAGGCGCAACCTTCATTTGTACAAGATCCCTTTTGAAGATAAACACAGTGGGGCATGATATGGGGATTGGGATAATGGGACAATTTACAGAGATGGGCAGGTTTCTTACACCGATTTGCTAAAAAACGAGGACAAATGGCTTTTCGTTTAGGATCATGGACAAATGGACACCGAGCTGCGTTCGGACATCGACCGAATCGAGTGTAGAACCCACAATAACGCGGTTTTCGTCTTCGTAAGGCACTTTTATGAGCATTCAGTACGAGTGACCGGCCGGAACGACCTTGACGAACATAACCCTCGGGCTGACGAATAAATACTTTGTTAGGGCCGCCATTCAATCCTCGTCTAAGCGGTTTTTGGGCTGCTGCTGCTGCTGCTGCTGGTGATGAGCTTCTGATAACACTAGTGGAAAATAAAAATGCATGAATCATTCACTCTCGAAAGCCAATATTTCTTAAGCACCCACCTTTCTGTTGGACGATTATGTTGATACAGTTTTGATGGCTTCACTATGGGTGATCTGTTCATCAAGTCTTTTCGAAATAATTTTCTTCCGCTAATAACATATTCGTTTTTTATATCAGTACTGGAATTCTTCGCTACTACCGGAATGGCAGAAGTTGGTATCTTATTGAGGGCTGGTGAGCTAGCACTCGTTGTCAACAATGAACCCGACGGGGAAGAGGTATTATGACTTGTGGAACCTGTTGCAGATGACAAAGCAAGCGAAGATGCATGTTGGGGTATCGAACTCGGCGAGTTTGCTAAGAATAAATTAGTAGGTGGGGTGTTGGAACGAAGTGGGCTATTCGGATTAGACCATCGATTATCGTTGACAAGAGACAAATGCATGCCACCTCGGCCACGATATCCGAGACCTCTGCCTCTCGAGCGGCCACCACGGGGTATACTGGGGTTATAATGTTGTGGTTGTTGAGAATGGTTGAGTAATGCTTTTCTTTGTTCTATAGCAGTGCTCAACTGAGCAATTCTAGCTAGCATTTCCTGATCGGATGCCATGTCTATAATAATTGAATTAAAAAAGTGTAATTTTTTGTTTTTTGAAGCGGGAAAAAAAGAAAATTCTTGTTAGCAGAAACATTAACGAATAGCTTAGAACAATGGTCACGAATTTCAAAAGCTGTCTTCAGTTTTTTTCAAAATAAATATTACTGATACCCATATAAAGCTTGGTTATGATACTATATACTTTGATGAAGTGTTAAGGATGTGCTTTAAAATAGAATTAGAGCTTCATTTTTCATTTGTATAGATCAACTGGGTTATGCTTTAAATGAATTATTTTCATTTTGGATAAGCTTTTGAACACCAAGATGTGCATCCGACAATGACTATATATATATGATGTCTCGTTCTGTGTATGTTAAAGCAGAACATGCACTCAAAGCTTATGGACAGTTGGCTTAAACTAACGAGTCACTGCTTTTCTTCAACCATAAGTACTAGATAAGCATGTAGTAAAGAGTCATCTGTGTCGGGCAAATGTGTATGCTCCCTTTTTTTTTTATGAGGGTTAAGAAATAAATAACGAACGATTTTGTTTTATTAAATAAGTTTAATTTACATAGTCAGGTAAGTACGATGAAGGAATAGAAGGTATGAGACTTGAGGTGAATAAGCGAGTCTTGTGTATACAGTATCTATATTATAATTGGTCTATGATAACACACGCATAGCCATTTCGAAGCTACAAAGTGAAGAATGGGAAAAAAGAAACAGTTAACAGGTATTCTCAACGTAGAGCATTCACAATTTAAACATACCCCATAAAAGTAACAGCATTCACTGGTGCAGCACGCAACAAACAAGGTCCAATACCTCTGAAGAAACCGCTGACACCTTCCTTGGCTAAAGTCTTTTTGGCACAATGCAACACGGATCGATATTGTTTGGTTTCTGGTGTGAAGCCATCTGTTTGTAATTTAGATTTGATAACATCCATAGGATAAATAGTAAACCACATGGCGTAGCCAGCAGCAGCACCAAAAGCACATACTTGCCAAGTAGGCAAGTCTGATCTTTGTTGCAAATTGGCTCTTTGCATTGCTTGCTGAACCAAATATTCATAAGCCAGGAAATAAGCACCATAACCTTGGAATTCACGAGCCATAGTGATACCTTGACCTTTATAAATGCCTGTTAAACCATGAGAGCGATAAATTTGCTTGATACAGTCAATGGGACCTGCATAGCCTGTGCCAGTTTGAACTTGAAGACGGGTACGAATGTGTTCAACAGGGCCAGAGACGAAGGAGTTGGCAAAACCAGAAGCTGCACCTGCTAAGTAAAGCTGAGAATTACTGAGAAGTTGTCCCTTTTCATTGACACTGGCAAAATGACGCTTCATGGCCTCTAAGACTACAAATTGGATAGAAACACAGGCACCGATACCAACGAGAGGTGTCATGGTGCCCTATTGGCAATTAAACACAAAAAAAAAAAAATACCCTATTTAGTAACTTTTAACGCAGGCTTTTTTTTTTTTTGACGGTTTTTTTCCCCGCTTACCTTATAAAAGCCTGCAATACCTTCCTTGGCTCTCGTTTTCTTAACGCAATCCAACATGCCATTGTATAAAGGATTTGTGGCAGATTGAGTTTGTAGACGCTATATTGAAAGTGTTAAAATTAAAATCCAGGGAAAAGGGTCTAGGCTATGGAACAAAGCAAGATAAGTGTGATACTTACTACTTTCACCGTGTCAAATGGCTTTTAAAAAAAAAAAATTAGATGAGATCCTTTATCCTATCCTGCTATCTTTGAGTATATCTGTATCTCTATGTTACCTGACCAACAAGAACCTGAGCAATACCTCCCACAGTACCACTGATACAGTCTTTGACAGCTTGGGACATGCTATTTCGTTGTTGCAAATGTCAGAAAATAGATGCTGAAGTCTGTAAGCTGAACACTATGATAGTAACTCTATCTTATTGATTGCCTCCAAGCACATAGATCTACATACCCAAGATTCAATTCCTTTAACTCTACTGTTTCTGCTGTTGTAATAGATGTCATGCTTTAGATACGCTGTTCAATAAAAAGAGATAGAAAGGTAAAAAAAAAAAGGAATGAGTTTTATCAAAGGAAAAAGAAAATCAAGTTTTGTTGAATACAGGAAAATTTAAAAGTTTATTTTTTTAGATCAGGAAAATATACAGTTTTTTCTTTTTGGGCTTTTATTTGGGTATCTCCGAAAATGTGGGGTAAATTCAGTCACCAGGTATCTGTAGCTGTATTAAATACTTCCTCTTTGCGGAGATCTATGCTGTTATCTATCCATTGGCAGAGATGGATGGTAATCACTGACTTTTGTGAGCACCTTGGCTGCTATCGATGAGAAAGAACCGTAAAGACAGGCGGTTCACCGACTATTCAATGTTTAGCGTAATTACAAGACTGGTTTCTCAGCAAAATAAATGTACACAACGGCACATGAATGAAAACATTGCATTTCAGGGCACCTTTTCTAAAGAGATAGTTGGAGTAAAGTATTCTGTCAGTGATGGTATTGTTTGAGCCTTCTATGAAAAGAGAAAACCTCAAGAAACAGCTGAAGAGGTGAAGAGAAATGATGTAATATTTGAAGCTAACACGGCTCAGTGTACAAGCCATTTAACTAAGATGTAAGAGTTTACTATGTATGCAAAAAGCTGGTAATGGAATAGTTTGGTGTCTTAGCCTTCAGCTGTGAAAAAAAAAAATCAGATAATCAAAGGGCAGGCATTTACCAGGAGTAGCAATAAAAAAAGATATTCCTGACCAGTATTAGCTGATCCGTATAAAACTTATGACTATCGTTTGATGACAACATTAGTAAAGCATATTACTGGCCTTCACTAACGAGCCTACTGTTTGAAGGACGCTATAAATTACAAAAATCAGCTTTTTAGAAAGTCGACCACCCAAAACTGACTTCAGCGATGTTTATTTAAAGTTGTTCATATTAGTACAGCAGAATAGAAATTTTAACCGTAAGCAATTGAAAGACTATATGCTAGGAAACTTTATCTTACAGTTCACATTGTTGATCTTATATTTATAGCCGAGTTGCTTATATCAATCTGACATAATTTGCTGTAGAAAAATGGTTTTAGAAAAAAAAAGAAGACAGATGCTAATACCAACCTTAAGTTGAATTTTTTTTCTTACCAGGAAACATGCCAACTTGACCATTTAGTCTACCTTTCCACCAGTCATTCACTTTTTCTGACTTGTCTAATACTTCAATCAGATCTCCTACTTTAAATGATAGGTCGCCCTCTTGGGGTCCTTTTAAATCGTAGAGTGCTTCTACTAATTCCTTTTTGCTGCTTTGTTCTTCTTTGTTGAGCTTTTTGGAAGGTGGTGGTGGTGGCGGTGGACGCTTTTTCTTCGCTACCACTTCAATTTGGTCATCAAATGGTGATGACGAGCACGCTGTGAACTGAGTGCTGGAGGGTGTTGCAGGTGTAGATGAAGTATTACTTGTTATACCAGCAGAAAGAGAGGTGTGCGAAGATGCGTTAGAGGCAAACGTTCGTTTTTCTAACTTTTGCTGTTGTGATTGTTGTTTGGTATACGAAGAAGGTAGCAAAGAAGCTGTGGCATGGTAAGAAGGCGTCGATGACTCGGAAGAATTGGATAATAGTCTATTCCTCAAAGCAGCTATGGAAGGACGCGGTGTCAAGGCTGGAGGCTCCTCTTCAGAGCTGCTCCGAGATTTTCTGCTCTTTTGATCCATGTTACCAATGCCATCGGGCACCGATAGCATTGTTTCTCTGAGTCCATCGTTCCTTTGCGACTTTGACGTGATGGTGGAGGAGTAACGGCGGCCAACGGATGAATATCGGCTGTTTTGAGGGTCGTCTCTATCAGGTTCCTGGTCATCTTGACTTGGTGAATCAAAAGGTGACTTGCGGTACCGCGATGACAAACTAGGATCTATATCATTTCACTTCATGAGACTGTGACCTGTTTCAAAGTAGGTTGTCTGTAATATGGATGTTACCTTTCTGTTGCCAGAGTTTTAAACCCTTTTTGAGTAAGTCGAGCTTATCCAATTCCTCTCTTGCATTTTTCTCAGCTAACCTTAGGTTATACCCCTCCTCAATTGGCATGTGTAAAGTGCTAAAAACAATTTCATTTTGCTGGATGACCTCTGAGAGACGACCATAGATGCCCGCGGCTGCGCTACATTGCGCGTTGTAAAATCTTTCCATCACAGGACCCATAAAATCAGCTCTCAACAAGTCTATAAACACAACCAGCTCCTTCTTTAACATGGTATTGAAATAGTCATAATCATAGGCTGCATTATCGTACAACGTCTGCAATTTCAACAAATTTTTTTCCTCGCTGGGCGTTGGATATTGAATATCAGCATATTTCATATACGACAGACGGTGGCGATCGTAATCAATTAACTTGTGCTCACGCTTTACAATCGTTTTGTCAATGACTTTAGCAATTTGATGAAAGTTATCTAGCGGTCCAATGACATTCGCGTCGATATCATCCTAGAAAAAAATCATGGCTTACTTGTTAAGTAAAAAAACGCATAAATTGTATTCTTCCGTCCATCCATCGCAAAAAGAAAAACAAACTTACAAGGACAGCCATCACTTCTTGTTTACAGTACGCCATAGCTGTGGCATAGTCTTCCAAACATTGTTTTGTCTCGAAAGGTATTTTTGCATCATCGTGCTCTTGATAGGGTTGCTCTGATAGCCCTTCATCATTTGTAGGACTTAATCCGCATACTTTGGCTATATCTGTCGCGCATTCCATCTGATAGCTGAGCATACCTATTAGACCCAATGATTAAAATTGACTTTCTGCATTGGAGTAAACTACAAGACGACAATGCTACTTTACTTGACAAACTGCCACGATACGCTATCACTTCTAAACGAAACTCTTCTGCAGCCTTCACGAGTATCTTGTAGCATTGTTCCAGCTCAGTAAATTCCAAATCTTTGGTGACATCTAGTTCAGTATTTTGGGTCAGTGCACGTATAAAATGGGCATGACGTTGGACCGATGATCCTTCGTGTTACTGTACCTTCACCACCATTTCTGGTTTTCAGTTGATGCGGAAGTCTTGATATTGATTTTTTGACCCCTCTCCTAGGGATGAATGGTTGATAAGATAACTACCTAATAAAAGAAATGATAGTTACATACCAGCTCATATCGTTTTCTGTAAGCAAAGGGCGACAAATACAAATGACAAAAAAAAAGCCAACAACAATACAATAGGAGAAAGAAAAAAGCAGTAGCTCCACTTTTTTCTTTTTGGGTTCAAAAAAACCAACAAAAACCTAAGGTTTTGAAGACAGACAACTCAGATTAGGACCTCGACAGGAACGAGGCACTCAACATTCGATAGTGAGCAAAATGTTCCAAAATAAATTATTATAAAGCGTCTGCTTTTTGTCATGGTGGACATGGCCGCTACAGCGATAATGATTTTGAGTTTTATGGTGGCTTTCAAATCCCTGTTTGTGCTTTAAGGAAAAGAAAAAGAAGCTATCCTCTCATTTTTGGGTGACAGGCAGCAGACGAACTCATCAGCAAAGGAACAGGACCCAAACTTTTACACGCTATCCATAGGTAGCAAATACTTGCAGTGAGCTGCTGCTGCTGTCAATCTCTCCTTGTAAAATCATAAAAGAGAAAGACACTGAGGAACACAAGGCAGAAGCAACTGTTACTATGAATTATAAAAGTGTTGTACTATACCAAGGCTTTCAGTGCCTGAAATATCACAACGGATAACTATCATAGTGATAGTGTGCTCGACCACTTTTTTACGGATCCTATAAGAAATACAATTCTTGACATCGTACACGAATACTCGAGATGGAGCTTGCGGGTCATGTTGGTCGATTATCTTATGTATAACAAACCCTATTGGCCATAGTAAAAGTATATTATCATGCAGTTACGCGAATTACAGATCGACCGTTCATGACTGAGAACTTGACGTACAACTGACAGTTACAGTACCCAATGTTATTGACTTGATGATGGTATATATTATCATTTTATTTTTCCCTTCCTCATGGAAAGATAAAATAGACGGGCCTGAATTTCCTCCATTGTTTTTAGACCTGCATGAAATTAAAAAAAAAAGGGACTTTTTTCTTTTCCTTTTTTCCTCTTCCATCATCAGTACATCGCCATCGATGGATTTCAATTCAATCTATCGCTCGCCTAGCTATTCAGGCTCACCTTCGAGACGCAATCATCTGTATGATAAATCTATGGAAAGCGCAGGAATGCCTGCCAACAAGACTGTGGAGGAAGGATTAAAAGATGAACAACGTGCATCACAAAACATATTCGAAAAACAGGACGCTGATTTTCCCAGTGAGTTTCAATTATTATGTAACAAAGTTCAGGGAAAACAGGGCAATTATTCAACTTTTCTTTTCCATTCAGGTACATTCAACGATTTTGACACATCATTTTATGAAGCCGTCGAGGATCTAGTGTACGATGCAGACAAAGAAAACGAATTACGGCAAAGAGTCACACAAACAGGTTCTTTCGTAAGTCAAGATTATCCTTCGACTGCAACACAACATAGGCTGCGATCCTTCAGGAATGAAGACGAGCATGTTACGACCGAAGGGGCTTCGTACGATACACCAAGAACCCTATGGGATGTATTACGACCGTTCGCCTTTGTTGTCTTTCTGAGTTATTGGGTTGTCCGGGAGCCGGTGGTGCGTTTCCTTGCTTTTATCACGGTGCTGGTTACCACTGCGATTGCTGATCCTGTCTTTTACGTGTGGGAGTCTTTCTTTTCAGCCTACTACACACCCACTGCAAAATATCGAATTTATTTTATACGTGCATGCACCACATTTGTGTGTCTCTTACTAGGGTTGATAGGCTTGAATTACGTTTATGGCGTTTCATGGAAGCAGGTGGGCAACATTTATACAGATATCAAAAGTATGGCGCCCAGCCTGCAGAAATTAGCAGAAATGGAAAAAAATCAAATGAACGAGCGACATCATATTCTGCAACTCATAGAACAGCATTCCTCCAAAGTGATTCAACAAAATGCTCCCTACTGGATCGAACAACAGCTACAAAAGCATAAAGTAGATCCGTTGACAGACGAGTTGTCAAAAAAGACGCTTCCCTCGTTGAACAACAACGTAAGCCCTCTCGTTGAAGAGGAACCACCGTTTGACTACGCGTCACATCAATATGGTGGACACATCATTCACTCTCAAACGAGCCAGTCGTTTGTGACGAGAAGGGCTATCAAGAGATGGATACTCAGTGTGCATTCTCATCCAGCGGATAAGATTCTGAGCCATAGTTTAGAGCCTGGTGAATGTTGGTGGATGGCAGGATCCATCGGCCATGTGACGATCAAGCTAGCAAGGCCTGTGAGGGTGGATAGCCTTTCTATTGGACATCCTTCACCCTCGCAAGTACTCCATAAAGAAAGTATACCGAAACAAATGGAGCTGTACGGCATCGAACGCAGCAGCGGCAAACGCATCTTTTTAACGAGTTTCGAATATGACATCGAGAGCTATCGCCATCTCCAAAGGTTTGACTTTAACAATGAAATGATTTTTCACGCTGTTGAACTGAGGATACTCTCGAATTATGGCAGTAGTCAGTACACAGAGCTTTATAGTGTTCGCATTCATGGAAAACAATAACCATCCTCCTCTGCATATATCATTTCTATTATTATTCTTGTTTTTTTTTTTTTTTTTTTTTTTTTTCTTATTGGGAATTGCCTTCGATTCAGCTGATGGATGTGGCCTCTTTCAAGATTTGCATACGCGTTTTACTGTTACATAAAGAATGTATCATGTCGATCATCACTATTTCATTCTTTATTTTAGAGGGCCGAGTAGAATGGCGGGCGTCTATTTTTCAAAAGAAACAAAATTTCAAATGAAAAATATGACTTTTGTCTAATGCAACTGAGACAAAAAAAAAAAAAAAAAAAAAAAAAAAAAGAGCTGTAACCAATGCATCGGCTTTTAACTGTATTTGGATTAATAAAGTATGTTCTGGTAAAGAATTTTGATTTGGTTGAGTGGAGGAGATTTGATTATCGTTTGGGTTTCTTCTTTCACCATCAGCCAAGTGTAGAGTTGTGTGTGTCTCTTTCTTCCTTTACATTTCTGTCAATTGAAAAAGAAACATATGGCCACCGTGGAAGAGATTATTTTTGTAGGTACAGGCACTTCGAGTTCTGTACCTGTCATATCTTGCCTTACCAGCCCTAAAAGGGATTGTAAGGTTTGCCTTTCAACTCTAACACCTGAAGGAAGGAAAAATATCAGAAAAAATACTTCTTTACTGGTTCGATTCCGTAAACATGCTGATCCTCCAGGTGCTCGCTTAAGGTAGTGGACTCATAGCAAAATACATTTGAAAGAGATTGTTGAATGTTGGAATGACAAAGTTACTGACCTGAGTTGAACGAATGGTCTTAGAAATGTACTCATCGATTGCGGCAAAACGTTTCAGTGTAAGTCCCCTTTATCAGGAAACCCGTTTCTGAAAAAAAAACAAAAAAAAAAAAAACGTCCGAATGCCATGGGTGATAACACACATTAATCTCGACACATACGGGGGAATATCTCGATAACTGCTAATGGGATCACCCGTTGTGCTATTCAGAGCTGTTTTTTTTTTTTGTTTTTTTTTTCAGAAACGGGTTTTCCTGATAAAGGGGACTTACACTGAACGTTTTGCCGCAATCGATGAGTACATTTCTAAGACCATTCGTTAACTCAGGTCAGTAACTTTGTCATTCCAACATTCAACAATCTCTTCAAATGTATTTGCTATGAGTCCACTACCTAAGCGAGCACCTGGAGGATCAGCATGTTTACGGAATCGAACCAGTAAAGAAGTATTTTTTCTGATATTTTTCCTTCCTTCAGGTGTTAGAGTTGAAAGGCAAACCTTACAATCCCTTTTAGGGCTGGTAAGGCAAGATATGACAGGTACAGAACTCGAAGTGCCTGTACCTACAAAAATAATCTCTTCCACGGTGGCCATATGTTTCTTTTTCAATTGACAGAAATGTAAAGGAAGAAAGAGACACACACAACTCTACACTTGGCTGATGGTGAAAGAAGAAACCCAAACGATAATCAAATCTCCTCCACTCAACCAAATCAAATTCTTTACCAGAACATACTTTATTAATCCAAATACAGTTAAAAGCCGATGCATTGGTTACAGCTCTTTTTTTTTTTTTTTTTTTTTTTTTTTTTTGTCTCAGTTGCATTAGACAAAAGTCATATTTTTCATTTGAAATTTTGTTTCTTTTGAAAAATAGACGCCCGCCATTCTACTCGGCCCTCTAAAATAAAGAATGAAATAGTGATGATCGACATGATACATTCTTTATGTAACAGTAAAACGCGTATGCAAATCTTGAAAGAGGCCACATCCATCAGCTGAATCGAAGGCAATTCCCAATAAGAAAAAAAAAAAAAAAAAAAAAAAAAACAAGAATAATAATAGAAATGATATATGCAGAGGAGGATGGTTATTGTTTTCCATGAATGCGAACACTATAAAGCTCTGTGTACTGACTACTGCCATAATTCGAGAGTATCCTCAGTTCAACAGCGTGAAAAATCATTTCATTGTTAAAGTCAAACCTTTGGAGATGGCGATAGCTCTCGATGTCATATTCGAAACTCGTTAAAAGATGCGTTTGCCGCTGCTGCGTTCGATGCCGTACAGCTCCATTTGTTTCGGTATACTTTCTTTATGGAGTACTTGCGAGGGTGAAGGATGTCCAATAGAAAGGCTATCCACCCTCACAGGCCTTGCTAGCTTGATCGTCACATGGCCGATGGATCCTGCCATCCACCAACATTCACCAGGCTCTAAACTATGGCTCAGAATCTTATCCGCTGGATGAGAATGCACACTGAGTATCCATCTCTTGATAGCCCTTCTCGTCACAAACGACTGGCTCGTTTGAGAGTGAATGATGTGTCCACCATATTGATGTGACGCGTAGTCAAACGGTGGTTCCTCTTCAACGAGAGGGCTTACGTTGTTGTTCAACGAGGGAAGCGTCTTTTTGACAACTCGTCTGTCAACGGATCTACTTTATGCTTTTGTAGCTGTTGTTCGATCCAGTAGGGAGCATTTTGTTGAATCACTTTGGAGGAATGCTGTTCTATGAGTTGCAGAATATGATGTCGCTCGTTCATTTGATTTTTTTCCATTTCTGCTAATTTCTGCAGGCTGGGCGCCATACTTTTGATATCTGTATAAATGTTGCCCACCTGCTTCCATGAAACGCCATAAACGTAATTCAAGCCTATCAACCCTAGTAAGAGACACACAAATGTGGTGCATGCACGTATAAAATAAATTCGATATTTTGCAGTGGGTGTGTAGTAGGCTGAAAAGAAAGACTCCCACACGTAAAAGACAGGATCAGCAATCGCAGTGGTAACCAGCACCGTGATAAAAGCAAGGAAACGCACCACCGGCTCCCGGACAACCCAATAACTCAGAAAGACAACAAAGGCGAACGGTCGTAATACATCCCATAGGGTTCTTGGTGTATCGTACGAAGCCCCTTCGGTCGTAACATGCTCGTCTTCATTCCTGAAGGATCGCAGCCTATGTTGTGTTGCAGTCGAAGGATAATCTTGACTTACGAAAGAACTGTTTGTGTGACTCTTTGCCGTAATTCGTTTTCTTTGTCTGCATCGTACACTAGATCCTCGACGGCTTCATAAAATGATGTGTCAAAATCGTTGAATGTACCTGAATGGAAAAGAAAGTTGAATAATTGCCCTGTTTTCCCTGAACTTTGTTACATAATAATTGAAACTCACTGGGAAAATCAGCGTCCTGTTTTTCGAATATGTTTTGTGATGCACGTTGTTCATCTTTTAATCCTTCCTCCACAGTCTTGTTGGCAGGCATTCCTGCGCTTTCCATAGATTTATCATACAGATGATTGCGTCTCGAAGTGAGCCTGAATAGCTAGGCGAGCGATAGATTGAATTGAAATCCATCGATGGCGATGTACTGATGATGGAAGAGGAAAAAAGGAAAAGAAAAAAGTCCCTTTTTTTTTTATTTCATGCAGGTCTAAAAACAATGGAGGAAATTCAGGCCCGTCTATTTTATCTTTCCATGAGGAAGGGAAAAATAAAATGATAATATATACCATCATCAAGTCAATAACATTGGGTACTGTAACTGTCAGTTGTACGTCAAGTTCTCAGTCATGAACGGTCGATCTGTAATTCGCGTAACTGCATGATAATATACTTTTACTATGGCCAATAGGGTTTGTTATACATAAGATAATCGACCAACATGACCCGCAAGCTCCATCTCGAGTATTCGTGTACGATGTCAAGAATTGTATTTCTTATAGGATCCGTAAAAAAAGTGGTCGAGCACACTATCACTATGATAGTTATCCGTTGTGATATTTCAGGCACTGAAAGCCTTGGTATAGTACAACACTTTTATAATTCATAGTAACAGTTGCTTCTGCTTGTGTTCCTCAGTGTCTTTCTCTTTTATGATTTTACAAGGAGAGATTGACAGCAGCAGCAGCTCACTGCAAGTATTTGCTACCTATGGATAGCGTGTAAAAGTTTGGGTCCTGTTCCTTTGCTGATGAGTTCGTCTGCTGCCTGTCACCCAAAATGAGAGGATAGCTTCTTTTTCTTTTTCCTTAAAGCACAAACAGGGATTTGAAAAGCCACCATAAAACTCAAAAATCATTATCGCTGTAGCGGCCATGTCCACCATGACAAAAAGCAGACGCTTTATAATAATTTATTTTGGAACATTTTGCTCACTATCGAATGTTGAGTGCCTCGTTCCTGTCGAGGTCCTAATCTGAGTTGTCTGTCTTCAAAACCTTAGGTTTTTGTTGGTTTTTTTGAACCCAAAAAGAAAAATGATAGTTTTTTCACATACCAGAAAAAGAAATGATAGTTACATACCAGCTCATATCGTTTTCTGTAAGCAAGGGCGACAAATACAAAATGACAAAAAAAAAGCCAACAACAATACAATAGGAGAAAGAAAAAAGCAGTAGCTCCACTTTTTTCTTTTTGGGTTCAAAAAAACCAACAAAAACCTAAGGTTTTGAAGACAGACAACTCAGATTAGGACCTCGACAGGAACGAGGCACTCAACATTCGATAGTGAGCAAAATGTTCCAAAATAAATTATTATAAAGCGTCTGCTTTTTGTCATGGTGGACATGGCCGCTACAGCGATAATGATTTTTGAGTTTTATGGTGGCTTTCAAATCCCTGTTTGTGCTTTAAGGAAAAAGAAAAAGAAGCTATCCTCTCATTTTTGGGTGACAGGCAGCAGACGAACTCATCAGCAAAGGAACAGGACCCAAACTTTTACACGCTATCCATAGGTAGCAAATACTTGCAGTGAGCTGCTGCTGCTGTCAATCTCTCCTTGTAAAATCATAAAAGAGAAAGACACTGAGGAACACAAGGCAGAAGCAACTGTTACTATGAATTATAAAAGTGTTGTACTATACCAAGGCTTTCAGTGCCTGAAATATCACAACGGATAACTATCATAGTGATAGTGTGCTCGACCACTTTTTTACGGATCCTATAAGAAATACAATTCTTGACATCGTACACGAATACTCGAGATGGAGCTTGCGGGTCATGTTGGTCGATTATCTTATGTATAAAAACCCTATTGGCCATAGTAAAAGTATATTATCATGCAGTTACGCGAATTACAGATCGACCGTTCATGACTGAGAACTTGTACAACTGACAGTTACAGTACCCAATGTTATTGACTTGATGATGGTATATATTATCATTTTATTTTTCCCTTCCTCATGGAAAGATAAAATAGACGGGCCTGAATTTCCTCCATTGTTTTTAGACCTGCATGAAATTAAAAAAAAAAGGGACTTTTTTCTTTTCCTTTTTTCCTCTTCCATCATCAGTACATCGCCATCGATGGATTTCAATTCAATCTATCGCTCGCCTAGCTATTCAGGCTCACCTTCGAGACGCAATCATCTGTATGATAAATCTATGGAAAGCGCAGGAATGCCTGCCAACAAGACTGTGGAGGAAGGATTAAAAGATGAACAACGTGCATCACAAAACATATTCGAAAAACAGGACGCTGATTTTCCCAGTGAGTTTCAATTATTATGTAACAAAGTTCAGGGAAAACAGGGCAATTATTCAACTTTTCTTTTCCATTCAGGTACATTCAACGATTTTGACACATCATTTTATGAAGCCGTCGAGGATCTAGTGTACGATGCAGACAAAGAAAACGAATTACGGCAAAGAGTCACACAAACAGGTTCTTTCGTAAGTCAAGATTATCCTTCGACTGCAACACAACATAGGCTGCGATCCTTCAGGAATGAAGACGAGCATGTTACGACCGAAGGGGCTTCGTACGATACACCAAGAACCCTATGGGATGTATTACGACCGTTCGCCTTTGTTGTCTTTCTGAGTTATTGGGTTGTCCGGGAGCCGGTGGTGCGTTTCCTTGCTTTTATCACGGTGCTGGTTACCACTGCGATTGCTGATCCTGTCTTTTACGTGTGGGAGTCTTTCTTTTCAGCCTACTACACACCCACTGCAAAATATCGAATTTATTTTATACGTGCATGCACCACATTTGTGTGTCTCTTACTAGGGTTGATAGGCTTGAATTACGTTTATGGCGTTTCATGGAAGCAGGTGGGCAACATTTATACAGATATCAAAAGTATGGCGCCCAGCCTGCAGAAATTAGCAGAAATGGAAAAAAATCAAATGAACGAGCGACATCATATTCTGCAACTCATAGAACAGCATTCCTC